TTGCGAAATAGAAGCGACGTTGTCATCAGGCCCGCGGATAAGGGTGGAGCTTTTGTAGTCTGGGAGAAAGAGCTTTATTTAAATGAGGCTCACCGACAGCTATCAGACGGTAGATTTTACCAACGCATACCGTCCATACCCGAAGACGCCACAAAAAGCAATCAGGAAACTGTTAAAGCATTTATCGCCCAGGCCATTGCCAAACAGGAACTCCCACAATCAGCAACCAACCTGATTGTGCAACATCCGCGAAAGTCGAAATTGTATTTGCTTCCAAAAATACATAAACCAGGCAATCCTGGTCGACCGATCGTCTCAGCATGTCAATGTCTCACCGAGCTTCTCGCGTCGTACTTGGACAAGGTTACAGCACCTTTTGTAAGAGGACTGGATAGCTACGTGAAGGACTTTGGCCACATGTTGACCATATTGAACTCGTTACGCTTTCGGGGTGAACATCGTTTCATTTTCACAATGGACATCAAATCTCTGTATACAGTCATTCCAATTGACGAGGGACTCCGCGCCCTTAAACACGAGGTCATGGATCCCCCAACACACACACTACTCCGTATGGCTGAACTAGCGTTGACGCTTAACTCCTTCGTTTTCAACGGTGAACACTACAAACAAATCGGCGGTGTCGCAATGGGCAGTAAGCTCGGCCCGAATTACGCCTGTTTGTTTGTCGGCTATGTCATGGTTAATGGAGGGAGACTATGGCTATGTCGAGGAACACATGTTGCACGATTATACCGGAATAAAACCAGACCTGTACAAAAGATACATGGACGATGTGGCTGGAGCGGTTTCATGCACGGAAGATGACCTCACTCAGTCCCTGACCTTCGCCTCAAACTTGGTTATCCCATCCAACTTGTACGGGAGGGAAGAAGCAAGGCAGCCTCTACACCAAGAGCTCTTCTATTAACTGGAAGGAACGCAAACCAGACCGGGACTAACAGAGTGCCAATGGTTACTACCTATCATCCCAAATACACGCCAGTCTATAAGATATTAAGCCGCAACTACAACGTCTTGGCAAATGACGATTCCACCAGAGTCATTTTTTCACAACCACCATTGAAGGCTTACAGACGGGCCAAAAACTTGAGGGATCTGTTAGTCTGTAGCAACTTTCCTCCAGACCAACCAGCACAACAACCAGGCACCTTCCCTACAAACGAACCATCTACCGTACCTGTCTTCACATTAACCAGTCAACCTCAATTCCATCACCAGGAGGACAAATTAAGATCACAGGATATTTCACGTGCACTTCAGATAACGTCCTTTGTTGTCTTTCTTGCCGTAAATGCCATAGGAAAGTCTACATCGGGGAGACAGGACGCAGATTGGCTGACCGTTTCAGGGAACACCGCCTCGACGTTCTACACAAGAAAGGTGACTTGCCTGTGGCGCAACACTTCAATAGCCCAGGTCATTCACTAGAGGGCGTCCGTGTCCCCGTGCTTAAATCAGGGCTAGCAAAGAAGGATGTCCGTCATCGCGAGGAGATGAGACAAATTTTTAAATTCCAAACACTCGCTCCTCGCGGGATAAATCGCGATTTCTCATTTACATGAAGTCTCGAGACACGCGCGCCCATTTTTCGCACGCGCAAACAGTTCCAAAACAGCACAGGACTGCAAATAACCATCTCATTATTTTACGTTGCAGTTTAAACGCCCTGAAGAAGGCAGTAATGCCGAAACGGCGGTTGATTTATACCGCCATTAAGCGTCTCTTTAAGAATATTTTTAACATTTACTTGAAGCTTTCAATTACTCTCGTGAGTCATCTCGTGACACTAAATTCAGATAAGTTCGGTGAGTCACGCAATACCGTAAGTTTGTCAGGCAACGCGCGGATGGAACTGGCAACGAGTCCGTGTCACATTACGCATTCCAGTTACACACACACCCAGAGATTCGTCTGCAGTGATCATTGTATGTCCTCAGTCTTTATTGGCGTTTTGGGTGATTAGCAAACTAGCTAAGAGTTCATGAGATTGATCAGTGCGTTATTGAAGATCTAATTTGCCGTATTCACGTGTGTTTGTTGGGACTGTGATAAGCTGAGTTGAAGTTCCTGCTTCTCTCGATCTTTTCTGCGTCACTGATCTGAATATTTAGACGTTTCGCGAGACAAGGTAAGCTTATGTTTTGATGATCGAAGCTCTTAAGGTCATTCTAAAACCAATTCCTTTCACTATCTCCAAAGCAGCAAACCCTTTATGTTTAGTCATACTGTAAATTACAACTTAGTAGTTTAGAATTCCAGAAACAAGATCAACTGAAATCAGACAACAATCACTTTCACTTTTGAGTTGAGTTTATCAGTTATCTGCATCGAATTACGCATCACTTCAGTGATTTCCTTTTGCAATGTGGTGGAATTTGAATTCTGTGTAATACTTGTGTGTCGCTTTCTCTCAATTTCTATGGAAGTAAAGATACAGAAGCTTTTGTTGTCAGGCATCTGAGCGTGATGAAGCTGATTGTGCTTTATGTTGAGAAATTGCCAAACTATTTGAATGTTTTGTCAAGTGCTGATTGAAAAATTGAGCCGATGTCTGGTGAATAAATTAACACTGTTCAGCTGCAAGAAATTAGTTCTTCTTGAACTGGAAAGGTTCAATAAAATATTTTTGAAGAAAAAGAGACGCTGCTTATCAAGTATTACCTGCTTGTGGAAATCACACAAATCAAGATTGTTAAAAAGTTTGGACCTGTCAGTATTAAAACCTTGTATGGAAACATGTCACATCAAAACAAAACTGCTTCCAAGAGTCTTCCAAACAAAGACTATGAATCATGAATATTGGCATGGCATGAGCAGTGTAAATCTCAGCTCCAAGGATTGTGTGTGAAGGGTAACCTCTGTAATATTTAAGAATAATTTCACAGTAATAAACAAAGAAACAAATTATTATAAGCCAGTTGTGGCATCCAAAGCCATTATTCTTTTCCTGCTCATCAGTGTCCAGTCAGACAGCTTTACAACTGTTGAGTCTTCAAGTTGGTGACAGCGAGGAAAAGAATAATTTGTTGCTTGTTACTTAACGCAATGAGCCATTATTTATGATTTATTAGTTTATGCATGACATAAGAACGATTGGTTGAGGTTGCATGACCCAAATATTGTTGTCATTGTATAATAAGAGTCAGATTCTGTTGTTTTCTGTCAATAATATAAAATGTTTGATTCTCTCATTTTTAGTGGCAAACTTTTGTTGACAGTCAACCACTGCGTTATTTGATACATGCAGATGTCACACAGAAGGCTTAATTTGTTGCTTGTTAATTAATGCAGTGCAGAGACCAGTGCTCGAAATTAGAGGTCTGAGAATACTAAAAAATGATCCAGACAACCATTTGTCTGTAAAATTAAAGGCCTGGTTGTCTGNTTTTAAAGTGAACAGAGATAAACTTGCGTTGACTAATCGTCGATGGACGTGTAAAAAAGGCAAAAGATTGACGATTACTGCCAACTTTTAGGAGCGGAATTTAGGCTGCGAAGAAAAAATCCGGCCCATGGACCCTATCGTAAAAAGCAGGACCGGTCACGTGCGTATGATTAGCCAATCAAATTTGAGGATTTAGGAATCCGGCCTGCTCAGATGCTTGAGAAAAAAAATAACATATAATATTTATTTATTAGTTTATGGATGAACGAACAGGGACTAATTGAGGTTGTAATAGAGTCACACCTCATTAATTTACTCTCACGCATATCCCAGATATTTTTGTCCTTGCACATAAATTGGTTATCTGTAGGCTTAATTTAATACTGTTGAAGTTTTTGAAGTTGCATTTTTCTTTTTTCTTTCAGTGCAACCAGGCTGCAGGCCTTAGCTTGTCACAACATGTAAATTATCTGCAGCACTCAGTGATTACAATGATTGTAATGCCTCCATAG